CCACCTCTACGCCTCCGCTAATCAATTACCAAATGTGGATAGATGAACTTGAATGATGGCAATGGTAGTTGTGGGTGTTTCGGGGCATTGCTCTCTTCTGTTCTCTTACTGATAGGATGGGCTTCAGCGTCTTATATGTTCGACCACCCGGACGAGTCAGAAGTATTTTGCGAATGGATTATTTTATCGTTTCATCGTGAGTCAGCCGTAAAGAGTCCGGTGTTTGTCAAATACTTCATCTATGCTCGAACCAGCTCATGGGGTTGGAGGGCAGCAGATGATCGGTCGACCTTTTCGGGTGGACTGGCACCCAGAGGACACGCCGGAGGCGCTGAAGGCGGCATGCCGAGCAGAATAAGACACTATGCTTCGTACGCGACTGTACGCACTTTGGCTACTGCGTTCAGGACGACGAATGGGCGAGGTGGCGTCGGTGGTTGGAGTCCACTATCGGTCACTCCAGAAGTGAGTGTCGTGCTACAGGACGGGAGGAGTGCAAGAGGTTCTGTCGCACAGGATGAAGGGCCTTGGTCAACCACGGTTTCTAAGCGAAGAGCATGAGCGGGAGTTGACCAAGGAGGTTGCGATCGGACGGTTCAGGACAGGTGGTGAGATCAGGGAGTGGATAGAGTTTGATACCAATTCGTAGTGAAGCCGCCACATTTCCACTGGTTGAACTCACTGGATTCCGGCCTTCGCCGGAATGACGGATGAGGGATGATGTGCCATGAGATTTGCGGCGCAGTCACGGCGAATTGGTATGAGTATGGAGTGAGTTACAGACTGGGAAGCGTGTACAGCCTGCTAGCGAGATTGGGATGCTCTCTTAGGCTGCCTCGAGGACTTCATGAGAAGGAGCATGTTGGAGTGCAGGAGTCATGGAAAACGGGGGATTCGGCGAGGCGCTCGCCAGTGCAGCAGTAACCAGGAAGACTGTGTTGGGGTTTGCCGGCGAGATGCGAGTGGGCCTACGGGGAACGGTGCGCAAGGTGTGGGGTCGTCGTGGAGTGAAGGTTCGTCAGCGAGTGCAGACAGTGTACGAGTGGGTGTACCTGTACTGCTGAACTCGGCGGCCTTGTGGATGTGGTGGATCACCCAAACCACCGTCGGTATCCAGGTCAGCTCATCTACGTTGTGGAGATTGACGAGTACCTTTACCTAGTGCCGTTCGTGACAGAGGCAGACGGCACACGCTTCCTGAAGACCGTTATCCCCAGCCGCAAGGCCACCAGAGACTACGGCAGATGGAGGGAAAGAAGAGATGGATGATAGCCTGAACGCAGAAGAGCGGGAGATTCTGGAGCACTTCGAGCTGGGGACGCTACGTTCAGCGCCGGACGCCGAGCGTGAGATCGTCGCTGCGCGTAAGGCCGCTCGCAACACGTTCAACAAGACTCGGCGGGTGAATCTACGAATGACCGAACGCGACTTCAACCTGGCGCACGTCAAGGCCAGAGAGGAAGGAATTCCCTATCAAACCCTCCTGTCCAGCGTCATTCACAAGTACCTGTCCGGACGGCTTGTCGAGAGCAGATAGGCCGGCGTCTCCGCACGGAGTGTGACCTACCTAACCTCGACCTCGCTGATGTACGGCGCGAGGATGCCTGCGGACGACTTGACCATCATCTCGATCAGGTCGTGCGTGGGGACGCACTCAGGGCACTCTTCGTTGACTCCGGGCGTGTACTCAATCGTGAGTTTGCCGCCTCGGGAATCGATGAATCGAATCGACCCGCCCTCTGAGGCTGCGATCACCTGTATGTTGTCGAGTACGCTCTGAAGTCCTGGATCTACTTGTGTGGTCATTAAATGCGTCTCCTGATGATGTGCGCGTTTATCCTAACATTTTTGACCGACGTGGATGACGGCAGTTCCCAGCGCGAGCTTCACGCAGTGAGTGACCTTGAGTCCGGCGTCGGTCATGGCGCCGGTAAGCTCGTCAGCGGACATGAACCCCTGCGCCGACTGCGGCAGGTAGGTGTATGCTTCGCGGTCTCCGGCCAGCAAAGCGCCGAGCCAGGGGGTGGCGTACCTGAAGTGCATGCGCGCCATGGCGCTGATGGGGTCTCTGCCGTCCTGCCGTACGATCTCAAGCGACACGACCCTGCCACCAGGCGAAACAACACGGGCCATCTCCCGCAGGGCCTTCGGCACATCGATGAAGTTGCGTATGCCAAATCCGACGGTCGCACACATGAAGCTGTCGTCAGCGAATGGCAACTCGTGCGCGTCGCCCTCGGTGAACGACACCGACTCCCCGACACCGTGACGTATCCCCTTTTGCACTCCTATGGTCATCATGTCGCGCGTGAAGTCGAGTCCCACAACCGAAGTGACCTCGGCTCGGCGGGCGAGGTCGAACGCGAAGTCTCCAGTGCCGGTCGCAACGTCCAACGCTCTACCTGACAGTCCCTCAACCGCCATTGCCGTCGCCTTCCGTCGCCAGGCATGGTGGCGTCCGCCCGACATGACAGTGTTGAGCAGATCGTAACGCCGCGAGATACGGGAGAACATGCTGGCCACGTAGCGGGCGCGTTCAGGACCGCGTAGCTGTGCCAATAGAGCCTCTACCTCAGGTCTGCTATCGAGACTGGAAGCGCCGGAAGCAGGTCGCTCGCAATCATGCCGGTATATCCCAGCCGCTCCCGTGCGGACTCCCCCGCAAGCCCGTGCAGGTAGACGCCGAGAGACGCGGCCGTCTCCAGCTCCAGTCCCTGCGACAGCAGGCCAACTATAGCCCCCGCGAGCACGTCCCCGGTCCCCGCGGTGGCGAGCCCGGGATTGGCGAACGGCGAGAGTCGCGCGGAGCCGTCAGCGTGGGCCACGACGGTGTGCGCTCCCTTCAGCACTACCGTCTTGCCCCACTCCCGCGCCGCCGCACATGCCAGGTCCAGCCTGCTCGTGTCGTCGCCATAGTTCGAGCCGCTGATCAGCCGTGCCATCTCCCCCGGGTGAGGTGTCAGCACACCGTTCGAGGCCCATTGAGTGTTCCAATCTGGAACTCGGGCCAGCGTATTCAGCCCGTCCGCATCGACTATGGTCGCGGGGAGATCGACTCCCGACAGCAGAAGCCGCTCGACCATGGCCCGCGTGTCCTCCGCCT